TACAGAAATTGCCACAGCCAAGTGGGTGATCTGACAGTGTCCTCTCATCAACAGCAGATGCCAATTCTTCATTTAGATATCTGTGGCAAACTTGATATTATTATTAGTTCCATTATTAATATTACTATTCAGACTATTATTAATTATGTCTGTGTTTATTATTATTAAGTGAATGTTAATAAGTCTTATAGGGTGTGTCACCTGATGACTATATAAGTGTGTTACTTTCAGGTAGTTAATTATCATTAGTTGTGTTCCTAGAGTAGAGTGATTGTTACTTTTTCTAATAACATTTATTGAGAATAGACGCATTCAGGACACAACAATTGGCAACGAGGCTGGCTCATATTGGACAGATACAGCAGTTTAACCGTGATACAGATGACTGGTCGATGTATTTAGAGAGGGTCGAATACTACTTTGAAGCTAATGATATAGCAGATGGAAGGCGTAAAGCAGCTCTGCTCAGTCTCATAGGTCCCGACACTTTCAAACTTCTAAGGAGTCTACTAGTACTTCACACCCCAGCTGACTACTCGTACGATGAGTTAAAGGAGTCCCTGTCGGCACACTTCTGTCCAAAAAGAAGTCAAGTGTTTTATCGTTCACAGTTTTTCCAGTGTGTACAGAAGCACGGTACTACTATTGCTTCATATTTATCAGAGCTACAGACTTTAGCCAAGGACTGTGGTTTTGGGGACTTACTCAACAATTTGCTGCGAAATCGCTTAATCTGTGGAGTTAGTGACCCAGCAATTCGTAAACATTTTCTAACAAAGGGAGATGACTTGACATTGAAAGATGCTATGAAAGATGCTACAACCATGGAAGCAGTGGTAAAAACTCTAAAGACCTTGGACCCCAACAAGGCTCCCATGACAAAGGCAGCTTAGGAGGAGCTGGAGTACACAATGTTAGACACTGTCAGTTTACACGTCCACCAGCAAAGCAGCCTCAAGGTCCAGGTGGGAAATAAAACAGTGGGGACAGTCAAAGGTCATGCTATCATTGTGGTATGAGTAATCACACATCTGATAGATGCTACTATAAAAATGCAACCTGCTTCAGTTGCAACAAAACTGGTCATATATCAAAAGTATGCAGAGCTAAGTCAAGGAAAGACTATGGGAAGAGGCAGCTGACTCAGCCAGTTCATGACATGTCAACAAATCACGACAACCCAGATGAATACTTGCTAGTGGCAGTAAACTTGACTGACTCTCACTCAAAGCCAAACATGGTGTCTGTAAATATGGATGGGATAGATATAGACATGGAGCTAGACACTGGAGCAGCAGTCTCAATTATGTCCGAAGATACTTTTCGATGCCACTGGCCTAATAAAGAATTACAGACGAGTGATACGAAGCTGAAGACATATTCCGGAGAACCATTATTTGTTAAAGGTACCATTAATGTACAAGTAAAATATGGTGTACAATCTGTTAAAGTACCATTATTAGTAGTAGTCGGAAAAGGTCCTACATTGTTTGGTCAAGAATGGTTGAGCAACATTAAGCTTGACTGGAAAAGCATTCATAATATACAAAGTGATGCTTTATATGTGTTATTACAAAAGTATGCACAACTTTTTACGGAGGGTCTGGGCAAATTAATGGGGTTTAAAGCAAACATTCAGGTTGACCCTCAAGTTTCCCCAAAATTTCATAAACCTTGCCCTATTCCATATGCATACAAGCCATTAGTTGAAGAGGAATTAGAGCGATTGTCAAGCCTTGGTATTATAACCCCAGTTCAATTTGTAGATTGGGCTGCACCTATTGTACCAGTGCTCAAGTGGGATAAGAAGAGTGTACGCATCTGTGGAGTCTATAATGTGATGGTCAATCAAGCATCTAGGCTTAAATGTTATCCAATTCCTAAGTTAGATGATTTGTTAACCTCCCTGGCAGGAGTTGTTTTTTTCTAAATTAGATACGTCACAGGCATATCAGCAGATTGAGCTTGATGATCAGAGTAAAATGTATGTCATCATAAACACTCATAAAGGTCTATTCAAATATAATAGGCTACCATTGGTGTTTCATTAGCACCTGCTATTTTTCAGAGAGTTATGGAGAGCCTTTTGCAGGGAATTCCCAATGCCTCAATATACATTGATGATATTTTGGTAGCTGGTAAATCTTATCAAGAACATATTGACACTTCAGAAACAGTACTAGCAAGATTACATGATGCAGGCTTAAGACTTAAGAAAGAGAAATGTTGTTTTACAATGTCTTCTGTTACTTACCTAGGTTACAGGGTTGATAAAGATAGGATTCATCCCATAACAGAGAAGGTAAGAGCAATCAAAGATGCTCCTCAACCTAAAAATGTAACAGCTGAATGCATATCTAGGTCTCTTGTCATACTACAACTGATTTTTGCCCCATCGTCCATCAGCATTAGCTCCACTATATAAATTATTACACAAGGGAGTAGCATGGAAGTGGTCATCTGAAGCACATGCCGCATTTAAGCATTCAAAAGAATTATCAGATGACAATGTATTAGCTCATTTTGATTCAGAGACAGAGTTAGTGCTAGCATGTGATGCCTCTCAGTACAGTATTGGAGCTGTTTTAGCACACCACTATACAGACGGATCTGAAAGGCCCATAGCCGTTGCCTCCCGTACTCTAAATGAAGCAGAGAAGAAATATAGCCAAATAGAAAAGAGGGGCTAGCATGTGTTTATGGAGTAAAAAATTTTCATTGCTATTTATATGGTTGACACTTTTCTCTGGTTACTGACCATAAGCCTTTACTTTCATTAGTTGGTAGTCAGCACATATCAAGTCAATCTTCTGCTAGGATACGTGTTTGGCTTTAACTTTGGCAGGTTATGAATATAATTAAGTTACAAAATATCAAATGACCATGCCAACGCTGATGCATTAAGCAGATTACCATTAAACAATTTACCTGCTTCCGTTTCACAGCCTCCAGAATTAATTTTACTAATGAAACGTATAGCTAGTTGTCCAATAACAGCAAAGCAAATAAGTAACTGGACAAAAGCTAATGCAATTTATCAAGAGTTTTGCATTATATCAATGAAGGCTGGCTAGAATCTTGTCCAGATGAATCTTTTAATCCTAACTGGACTAAACAAGCAGAGTTATCAGCATTAGATGGCTGTATTTTATGGGCATCTCGAGTAGTAGTTCCGAAACAGGGAAGAGAGCATTTGTTGCTAGAGCTACATGAAGGTCATGTTGGCATTTCCAAAGCAAAAGCAAGAGCTCGATCATGCATTTGGTGACCTGGAATTGTCCAGGACATTGAAAGAGTAGTAAAGGGACGTGCTAAATGTCAGGAAAGCAAAATATTACCAGCAGAAGCCTTGCTCCACCTATAGCCATGGCCATCAAGACCTTGGTCACGCCTACACGTTGATTTTGCTGGTCCTGTAAATAATACAATGTTTTTTATACTAATTGGTGCATTTACGAAGTGGATAGAAGCTTTTCCAATGTCAAGTATTACAGCTACCAGCACTATTTAACGCATAATAACTCTCTTTTGCTCAATTTGGCATTCCCGATACTATTGTGTCAGATAATGAACCTACCTTTTTAAGCCAGGAGTTCAAAGAATATCTACAGCAAAATGGAGTTTGTCATGTCACGTCTGCACCATATGATCCAGCATCCAACGGCCTAGCAGAATGAGCTGTTCAAATTGTTAAGAATGGACTACTAATGGAATGATACACAATAGATTGGCTCGTACACTGTTCAACTATCAAGTATTACCACAAAGCACTACTTGCATATCGCCTTCAGAATTATTATTTAACTGATTAATTAAGTCAAGGTTAGATTTAGTTTAACCAGATATTCCAGCTTGTGTTGAACAAAGACAAATTCAACAGACGGAATACCATGATATTCATGCTAAGAATCATCCATTACTTGTGGGGGAAGAAATATATTATAAAAATTTTGGTGATGGTCCTAAATGGAAAAAAGGTTGTATATTAAAAAATTGTGGTTTAGTAGCTCGTTTAACTTGTGATCAGGATGGGAAGTTAATAAGACGACATATAGATCACATTCGAAGGAATCATATAAATTTTAGTCCTGATATGATGGATTCCTCCGATGATTTTATGATTGATTTTTGTGGGAACAATGATTCACCTCAAGATAATAATAATCGTACCCCAGGTCGTTCACCGTATCCTAGACAAAATCGTCCACCCGATTGTTTCACACCACTATTATCTTAGGGGAAAGGATTGTGGTAAACTAGATGTTACTATTAGTCTATTATTAATATTACTATTAGGACTATTATTAATTATGTATGTGTTTATTATTATTAAGTAAATGTTAATAAGTCTTATAGGGTGTGTCACCTGATGACTATATAAGTGTGTTAGTATTGTATTTTCAGTTAGTTAATTATCATTAGTTGTGTTCCTAG